GTTACTTTCGCATTTATAATATTAGTAGGGATCATACACTATACGAAATATGAAAGCAAATATTAAAATGCTCAGTCATTTTTAATCTCATTAACAGCTTTTCAATACATACAAAAGTTTGGATGAAATTGATGAATCTATTTTGAGAGACTATTATGACGGAAAAATATTTTTTGGTATTTTCTTTTATGATGCAAAATATGCAGGTTTCTGATAGGTTTAGAAATACTCTTTTTCTTTCGTCATTTATACGAAGACTGTTATAACTTAATTCTTTTCCTCTGTTAGTTTCTGAACTACTAATAGTATTGCTATAGCTGGATATTTCTAGAATAAGAGGTATAGTGTATACCTAGCTTCTAGAAATATCTAGCTATAGCATATAGAATAAGAGGTATACACAATAGATAGTCCCCAGAATTATTTAGAAATTGTAAGAAGATCTACTTGGGTTTTCAATAAGGTTTCAAAGCTATTTGCAAAGTTTTAAATCCATAAGCCAATTATTTTCAAATGTTGGTTATGCATAAAGTTTTTATGTATCTAGAGAAAAGAAGCTTGACTGTCTTGTAAGATTTAAAAAAGAAAATATCGCTAGCCATTTTCCAAAGAACACGATGTCGTATAAGCAGTATCGTCTTGATCGACTGCATAAAACTGATATATATTAAAAATCTATAGTAACTTGCTTCATTGAATTGTGTGTAAAGATTCTTCAAAAATATTTCTAACAAATTTCATGCAATTCTATTACTTGTATACATGTTACGATTTTTCATCCAAAAGGCTTTTCAAAACTTACTATTGGGTATTCAATTTAACTGTAAACAAACCCGCTGTTAACATCCGAAATGGGTTTTCGCAATCTTTTGTCTTTTACGCATTGAAATACACACCCAAATTTAGTTCCGTATAGTGTAAAAATACTGAAGTAAATGTAAATGCGATTTGATTCTACGTATAGATTTTTGGCCACTTTAAAATTGTTGACCCTTAAACTGAATCAATGCTAACATGTCCTGAGTTTAAGTCCAAAATTGAGGTCATGCATGCATATGCGTAATATGCCGATTTCACGTGCAAAGTTGTCGTTAAGTTTGAGACTCAGTGACCTAGATACATGGCCACTTTGTACAAAGGTTACATAGCTATAATGGAGGAACACTTAAGATCAGTCTTTCATAGGAAGTTTTTTATAAAATTAGTTCACTGAGTTGTTGTTGACGTGAGTCTTTATTCGTACCAATTTATGTATATTATAGAAATTTTTCTTGGTGAAATATTTATTTCTTAAGTACGTCTTTGTAGCTCAAACTTTAGGCTTACTAAATTTCAAAGAAGTCAGATGAGTATTATATAAAATTACTTTTCCTTCTTTTCATTTAAGTCTTATTCTAACGTCCGAGTTATTTAAATGTATTCAGGAGTTTCTGAGTTTATGTAATATACGTTCTATCTCAAAGATTTGATATCATAAATGCTAATAACGGACTTGTACACGAATTTTGTCGTAAATAAATTAATTCCTTATCACACCTTAATATGAGGAAGTAAGAATAATGGTAGAGAAACATAATACAAAATGTTTACCAAAAGTAGGACGTAATTACTTTCGCATATGTCATTTTTTTACGTTAGCTTTTTCTATGACGAAAAAAATTATATGAAATAAATAATGAACTTTATGATTGATGAGAGCCGAATTTGGGTGCAATTTCTTTTTATATGTACACATACATAGGCTGAAGAGGGTAATATTGAACAATAAATTGTTATAACCCTTCCTTAATTACTAAATATTTTTTCATGGAAGTCAGATATTTTTAATGTTATTAAAGAGCATTTAATCTTTTAAAATCGATACATTTTTACGATGTTTTTCTTTCATTCATTCATCATATACAGGGTGACTGGTGAATTACTATCGATATTTGAGGACGTCATATTTGACGATCATATATGACAAAATAAAAATTAATATAACATAAATATTAATAAACTTCTAAGTAAAGTTAACCAAAAGTTATGTAATTAATTACGCATCGTGTGAACACCCTACAGATTAGGTATACACACACACACACACATACGCGTGCGCGGCGTGGTGTTGTATCAGCACGCGTCCACACTTGGAACACTTGGAACGTGTACACACTTTATTTATTTATACGGAAATTTGGTCAAAAATTAAGTACCTATTTTTTTTACATAATTCGAATGAGAATCATGTACCGAGTATGCTACTTAAATATTGATAGTAATTCACCAGTCACCTTGTATATTGGAAATATATTTGGTGACGTAATTTTTAAATAAGGCTACAACTAGCCCAGGTTATGTTCATGACCTGAAATATAAAATGCGGCGTCACGCGCTCACTTCAGGTCGGTGCCTAATATTCAGTACCTGTTTGCCAGTCACGATCCCATCATAAAGATACCTTATTTTACATATTCAGTAAATAATTATGTTATAAGCACATTTAATTGTTTCAGATTTTCCGCACCAGTAACAGTTTCAAGGTAATGTTTTTCAAATACAGCATGTTAAGCGACAGAATACAAATCACTAAACAGTTTTTTTTTATTGAATTGCGAATTCGTGGTTAGAATTTTAATATTATAAATTCAAAAGTATTTTTTCTTGGTACACGATAAATAAAGGAATTTGTCATAATTCATTCATGTACTTTAACCCTTTTTATTTTAATTACCTCAAGCATAAGACAGGATCTAAACATATCTCACTCCTCAACCACAATTATTGATGTACTGGGATCCTTTTAGAACAATATCGATATAATTACCACAAGTAGAATTATTAAATTTTTCTCCAAGTAATTAATTATAATTTTATGATAGAAAAATTTAGACTGAAATTACAGATACTGTTCTATTTTCATTAAAAGAAGTGAACCAAATTGGATCGTATGGAGAATATAAAAATAATATATATATGTATATATTAATTGAGATTTGGCATACTGTAGTTGCGTAACTAAATCAAGCGTATAGTATTGTTTATAGGAAGCTGTATATTAAGCCATAGCTTGTAACATCAAGCTGTAAAATCACATAGCTCATTAAATGTATCAATCAACGTTCGATAGCAGATGGCGCTGTCTGGCTTCGATCCAGAATATAATCTATGGTTTTGCATATTTTTGATTCAATTAAATACTGTTTTACGCAAACATGCATATTTTTATATGCGACAAATATTTAATATACATTTGTACTGGATACACTTATTGTACGTAGAAAGTTTAGCATTTTTTTGTATTTTTTAAGTTTAAATTTATTCTATTAGTCATTAGGCATCTTCTTGCCCCAAAACATTATAAACTAAATAAGCGAGATCTTTAAAAAGCCTTAATTTAAAAAATATTTTTTATACCTAATGTAATTTCATGAATTTTTTAAATATTTTTTATGAACAAACAGCCACATACATATTTTAAAATTAATACAATGTATGTCAAGGTCAATATGATATATTGGTTATTATAGTGTGAAATTTTCTCTATTGTGACGAAAACTTAATGTTGTGGATTTTTTTCCTATTATAATTCCAAAGTTTTCAAACTCAAATCTAACTTCATGACAAACTATGTCACCTACTAGATATTCACCAAGAAAGTAATTTATCTTGTGGAATTGATATTGTGATTTTTCATATATTTTAAATAAGTAGTAAAAGTATATGTATATATATATCTTTTCTTTGTTATTGTTCTATTTTTCATCTTATTGCTAAGGATTTCACGATAATAAGTTAAATATGTTTTCAAAGAAGTCGCATACATATTACAGATGTTATAAAAAAAATAGTTCAAGAACAAATAAAGTAATTTCTATTACATTAATCAACAAGGAAGCATAGTAAATGGAAAAAAGAAATGAGTTTCTTACGGTGTCTATAACATGACAAAATAAGTCAATCGTCTTAACATGTTACAAAGCGGAGTTAGCAGGAAAAGTATAGAATAATTTGGGTAAAAGGCTATATAAATTGGGGTGCTTAAAGCGGGGTTGTTAACACTTAAGAGGGTCCTACAGGCTACAAATAATCCGCTACCGAACAACTCGGGTGACAGAAACAAGGAATGAATTAAAAGTTTATATTACTTAAGTGTTAGACCTGTTACAATCTTATTTCTTATGTGTAACTACAATGAAACAGATATGTAATGAAATGGCACATAATTACGAAAAGACTATTAAATTTGGAAAACAAATAACTTAATCTGAATAATAAAATATTAAAGGTCATCTTTTATTAATTAATACACATACCTTCCAGGCGCTTGATGACGTCACGACGGCGTTTATGACGTCATATTACTTAGCCTTCCTAACAGCATTACGGAGTAAATTAACCGGTACAGCCATTAGGTTAAGCGATAATTTTATAAAGTGATTCAGGTTGAATTTTCTGAGCGAATGCATTTAATTGCTTAGAAGATGGTTGATAAAAAATATGAACAAATTATAAAAGATTTTATATAGAACAAATCGGATTCTGTTAAAGTTTTATGAAGTCTCTCCAACTAGTACAAAGGTTTCAATGGATCACGGAAAATCTCTTCAAGTATTGGAAATTTAAGGAAACCAACATATTCAGGTGATAGTTCTGAGAACTTTTAAATACATACTGTAACAGCAATATATTCCTACTCCTGACATTACATTAGTTCATCTTTTTGATAATAGATGATGTTACTTGTATTCTAAATCACGCTAACGTTATAACTTTATATAGTGAATAAATAACCCAGAAAATAATAGTTTTGTATCGAGTCACAGGGACCTCGATAGTGGCAAAGATACTGCTTCCACCTGGTTGGGACTGTATTTTGAAAGCTACCGAGGAAAATCACTCTTCTAGGTTCGACTTCCGTTGGCTACTTCCACTGTGTGGGATAGCTCCCTGGTGTCGACGTTAGAGGCCTAGCCGTCTTATTGTAAACCAACCTTCACGTCAAAGCCCTCTGTATTACACTGGCGCCCAACGTGGGGCCTATTGAAAAGCCCTCAGTGTTACACTGGCGCCCGAACGTCTGGCCTATTGAAAGGGCCTCTCTGTATTACACTGGCGCCCGAACGTCTGGCCTATTAAAGGACTACCACGACGAACTTATGAGTAGTAGGGAAGAGTTCTTTGACACAAGTGAAGAGCACAATACGACGAGGCAAAGTCTCGGCAACGTTGTCACTAAGTACGGAAGAGTTACTACGACAAAGAAGATACACCCCTTGACCGATCAACTAACCAAATGACTGTTCAACTAACCAATGAGCAATAATGAACGTACCTCGACCCCGTAATTTGAAGCATTTAATGAGTTTTATACAAATGTGTTCCTGGTACAGGAGGTTCATTCCCGATTTTGCTAAAGTTGCAGAGCCCTTGACGCGTCTCACTAAGAAAGACGCCGAGTGGTCTTGGAACAAAGAACAAACATTTGCATTTGAAACTCTGAGAACCCTATTAACTACTACTCCTGTACTCGCACAGGCTGACGAGACTAAGCCCTATATCATCAAAACTGATGCTAGCAACTTTGCTATTGGAGCGGTCTTAGTGCAGGGGGAGGGTGAGAATGAACATCCAGTTGAGTACGCTAGTCGATTGTTGAATAAATCTGAACGAAACTATTCAACTACTGAGAGAGAAGCCTTGGCAGTGGTGTGGGCGGTCAATAAATTCAGAGGCTACATAGAAGGAACTAAAATTACTGTATTATGTGATCATCAAGCTCTCAAATGGCTCATGACCTTAAAGACACCCACTGGCAGATTGGCACGATGGGCTCTTCAGTTACAACCCTATGATATTACAATAAAATATATACCAGGCAAAACAAATGTTGTTGCCGATGCTTTATCACGTCCAAGTTGTGAAGCCGATACAGAAAAAGATTGTGGAGTATGCACTGTGATAATTGATATGCCAAGGAAAAGTAAACAAGAAATAAGAGAGACACAGCATACAGACGACGATATAGTCAAGATAGTCAAGGATCTGGAAGGTAATAACGAAGAAAAAGCTCAATATTGGAGTAAGAAAGGATATATGATGAATGATGGACTACTATATCGTTACTACACTGATACAAATAGGGATGAGAGTCAGTTAGTAGTACCCAAGCAAGAACAGTTAAACGTCATTGCTACATATCATGACGCTGAAACAGCTGGTCACTATGGTGCCGAGAAAACAATCGAGCGTATATCTCGTCGTTATTTTTGGAAGGGAATGAGAGGACATATAGAAGCTTACACACGAAATTGCTTAGAATGCCAGAGATATAAACCTTCAAATCAGAAAACAACTGGATTAGTGCAAACTACAGCTACCAACCAACGATTCGAAACAGTTGCTTTCGATTTATTTGGCCCATTACCTGAAACGCGAGAAAATCATCGCTGGATTTTTATTGTGGAAGACGTGATGACCCGATGGGTGGAACTCTTTGCCTTGAAATATGCAACGGCGGACGAATGTGCAAAAATACTGTTGAACGAAATCATACTAAGATATGGCGCACCCCGAAGATTTATTAGCGACAATGGATCTCAATTTGTTAGTAACGTTATGCAACAATTAACATTTTGTTTACGCATACGACATGGATTCACTCCCGTATACCATCCGGAAACCAACCCGGTTGAGAGACGAAACCGTGACTTGAAGACGCAACTCGCAATTCTTGTTAAAGACGACCACACTTCCTGGTCAGATAAGCTACCAAGCATTCGATACGCGATGAATACAGCTAAATCTTGCTCTACTGGCTTTACGCCTGCTTACCTAACATTCGGACGTGAATTAAGAACAATTGATGATGTTGAACATGATCTGCGAGATATTGTGCAAAATGAGAACTTCATCATGGAAATTACACCGAAACTACTGTTGATAGCGGACACCCTAAAGCGAGCAAAGGAAATACAGGAAATGAAAGAGGAGAAGAGGAAGGAATACGTTGATAAGACGAGAAAAGCCTGTCCAAACTATCGAGAAGGCGATTTGGTATTAGTCGACACGCATACCCTTAGCAAGTCTAGTCAAGGGTATAGCTCAAAGTTAGCACCAAGGCGCGATGGACCCTATGTCATAAATAGACGTCACGGTCCCAGCTCATTCCAGGTTACCAATCCCCAAACAAAAGAAATAGCTGGGATATATCACGCCTCTGCTCTGCGTCGCTATAAAGCATCCGGTGATGCAACCTTACCCGCCCCTTCTCAACCAATAAGAAAGAGAGGTCGACCAAGAAAACAAGTAATTGGCACTGGAACAACCCGTACCTGTGGACCAAAACCACGTGGTAGACCACCCAAGAAGAAGGACAACTAGTTTTCTTCCCTGTCTTTCTCGTCGAGGCGACTTCGTAGACAGAGGGGGAGACTGTAACAGCAATATATTCCTACTCCTGACATTACATTAGTTCATCTTTTTGATAATAGATGATGTTACTTGTATTCTAAATCACGCTAACGTTATAACTTTATATAGTGAATAAATAACCCAGAAAATAATAGTTTTGTATCGAGTCACAGGGACCTCGATAGTGGCAAAGATACTGCTTCCACCTGGTTGGGACTGTATTTTGAAAGCTACCGAGGAAAATCACTCTTCTAGGTTCGACTTCCGTTGGCTACTTCCACTGTGTGGGATAGCTCCCTGGTGTCGACGTTAGAGGCCTAGCCGTCTTATTGTAAACCAACCTTCACGTCAAAGCCCTCTGTATTACAATATATTTTTTTCAAGAAAATAATTTTACGAAATCACTGGTAACTAAATGATTGAAACTGGAAAACTTTGTTAAATGCAAAATTAATAATTAATTTTAATAATTTAAGAAATATTACATCATCTCCATTAAATAAATATGAACACTGAAAGTTCTTTGTTCAAGTATTTCGTCTTTTTGTTTATATTTCTTCTAGATATACATTGACAGATAGTTTATCTTTTAATCAAGCGTGCCATCTGCTAGTTTATTATTAAGTAACAAGAAAAATACTCGTATATCTACATTATCTTGTACCTTCATGTATTTTGGTATCTAACCTTAATGGAAGATTTAAATGAAACTAATATTTTTCGGATATACTACATCTCGTCTGCTCGTAATCACGGTTGCTGAAAAGTAGCCGAAACGTAGGAAATATGTAGTTTTTTTACAAAATTAAAGCACGTGTAGTATATCCGAAAAATATTAGTTTCATTTAAATGAATAAAACTCGCGAAAATCTTAGAATTCATTCATTAAAGTTTGAAAATAGAAAAAATATTAATACCTTTATATCTTTCTCTGTTTTAAATCATTAAAATAAAATATTTTATTATATATACTCTCAAAACTAGTTTGAATCATTCTGTATACACAGTGAAAGCCTATTACCGTATTCTTTTTGTAGCAATCACAGAATAATACATGAATGACGAAGGATGGATCGCATTTATAAACCAAAACAATTCAGATTTAGTCGCTAAAGTATAGAACTTTTGTAAACGATCACGCGAAAACGTCACGCTATCGGAATACTACTGTTTGACATCAGGCTTTACTTATTAATATAAGAAGAATATAAAAGAAAATATGCTTTTTTATATTAAATAATAATATTAAAAACGTTTGTCAGGTAATAAGATCTTAGGCTTTTGCGAGTGTTCATTTAAATAAATCTAATATTATTATGATGAGTACGAGTTTTTAATTACTTTAAACTACATACTCCCGACGCGACGTTTCGGTTACTTTTCAGCAACCGTGATCACAATTAAACAAATAATAAATAACGCGTAGTAATCCGAATAATATTAGTTTTATTTAAACGTTTGTCACACTTTAAATTATAAAAATATGAAAATTTTATTTCCAATTTTTTATATATGTAAATTTTGTTAACAGAATTTTAATGACGGACATACTTTAAGTTTCATAGTTTCGGTGTACAATATCGCATACACGGTGTCAGTGCTATTCTCATATTATAAATATTTTGTACGGCGAAAATTCATTTTAAAATTTCAATTAAGAGGTCCATTTTAATATAAATGCAATTTTCCGTTGAATGAAAATTATTTCGAATACTTCATATATTTGGTAGATAAATATTAAAGCGTTAAATGAAAATCTTAATATTATTTTTTGTATGATCTACATATTGTAATTCTCATATAAATAGCTTGACCGACTCATCTTAGTTAAATTATATTAAAAATTATCTGATTTTAGGAAGATTAACCTGAAAAAATATTGTTTGAGCGTCGAGACAAAATATCGTCGTCGTAATCAGCCTATCCACTGCTGAGCATAGCCTCTTCTCTCATGGAGAAGGTTTGAGAATTAATCACCCCGCTTGCTCAACACGGGTTGGTGATTTCAGACTTATATTTGTGAAATTATAAGTCCAGGTTTCCTCACGAAGTTTTCCTTCACCGTCTTGTCAGTGGTGTCTAAATCCCTACTATATAATATTATAAATGCGAAAGTAACTCTGTCTGTCTGTCTGTCTGTCTGTCTGTCTGTCTGTCTGCTACGCTTTCACGCCTAAACCACTGAACTGATTTTAATGAAATTCGGTACAGAGATAGAGTTGACCTTGAGAAAGAACATAGGATAGTTTTTATCCCAGACTTTTGAAAGGTTCTCTTGGAAACGCGATATAACCGAACTCCACGCGGCGAAGCTGCGGGCGGAAAGCTAGTAATTTTATAAAGTACATATGACTCGGAAAAATCACATTGGTACTTGCCAGCCCCTTAAACACTAGGCCACCAGATTTAAAAAATATATATATTTATATTCCAAGTAAATCTGTAGAATAACTTTAGTCAATATATGATAATCAGTTTAATACTGGATCCTATAATAATATCGCTGTAAGTGTATTGTTGCCATTTTACTGATAAAAAAAAAATGCTTGTATTACGTACTATATCTTTCAAATCTTTTATCACCCCATTTATTGTGTCAATATCATAATCAGTAGGGAAAACAAATCAGTAAAAGCTTTACAGATAGCGAATCGATGTTTATATGACACTGATGAGGAGGGTCTATTAGTTTTTGCAAATAGCTTTCACCTTTGATTTCGCCCGTATAGATTTCAAAAATGTTCATATATTGTTTAGGTGGTAGAACCTAACTAAAGTCATGTTACTACAGCTCGAACATGGGCTGGCTCGACCGGGGAAGTACCACCCTCTCACAGATTGGCGTGAAGTAGCCTTTAATGGCTGCGTTTCGTCCGATGAGTGAGACAGCCGGTTGCTCTTTCCCTATTCCCACTTTTTCCTGTCATTTCCTTATATCCACCCCTTCCTACTCGTCAAAAACGAAGGTTGGCAGCGCGTCCGCAACAACGGTAGCTGCTGCCCACCAAGTAGGCAGTCTGCTGATTTTCCACTGTTCTCAGAAAAAAACATTGAAAAATTATAATAATACATTTAAAAATAAGATTTCATAATAAATCTATATTCTCAAAAAATTTTGTGTCATTACAAATTTTTCGCAATATCGTTGTGACGTGTTAAAAATAAACAAAATTTTGGGATAAATCAAAACAATTATGTATGTTATTTAAATGTATTATATTATTGTTGCTTTTTATTTAAACCATTTATAAATTTCGAATTGACCTAGTCCTATTAACAGTCATGCATAAAACAGTTCATATATGTAATATGTGTAAATTTCCATAATAAAAATGATAACAAAAATCCTTATCAATGACATGCTCATAAAATTACATGAGTTCACTGAAAGGGAAAGCGAAAAAGAAATATATAGAAATGAATATATCTTTTGTCCTAACATGTAAATACAATAGGATTTAATTTAAAAAGTCTTTTCTGGCACTACAATGTACACAATACAATATATTCATAAACTCTCAATACAAAATCAGTTCCATTTGAAACTAGAAGTAAAAGCCGTAAAATAACATTTAACGATATTATAACAAGCAAGTAGAATCATTAGACTATACCATAACCAGAGAACTATCGTTAAAACAAACGCTTATAGATTTACGGTAACTGTCCGAGGTTCATATAACAGTTAACATAGACTTACATTAACATACGAAATGTTTCAAATAATGACCAAAAAATTAAAGTTTTTTTAATGGGAACTGAGTTTCAGAAAACCATAAAAAGACGTGATAATTTTTTTGTAGCATTTTCTATGTAACATCAACAATTATAGTACATTTATATTGATAGTGAAACATTTATATTGAACAAACTAAAGTTAAACACTTTTGTTTTAATATTGTCCCAAGTTTAAAATGTATTTCTAAATCCTGTTCTGTTAATCTAAAAAACAAAACAAAATCCGCGAAGCTAAATACGGTACGGGTATTAAAAAAAAATCAAAGAGGCCAACTAATTGAATTGAAGTCAGGAACTCTTTGAAATAACGAACGAAATAATTAAATGGGGAAAAAAAGCATAAACTTTTATATTAACAACGAAGCCAATATCGATTTGTAGAGGATTTTCCGCATTCACTGGAAGTGCGCCTATAGAAGACTGACTTATATTTTGCACGTATTTAGGTATTGTATCGAAAAACACGTAGCTTTTTAATTATGAATTATATATATTAGATCCATACTGCTTTTAATCAAATGACGTTAGATATCAATCAATTTAAGCACATAAATTGTACTTCATAAGGTGGACATTCGTTTGAAACCATACTTGTTAAAAAACTAATATTTGAAAACAGCTTGGTATGAAGCACTACAAACAAATAAAATTTATTTAATAAATTCTCTTATCTTAATTTCAAAATGTCTATACTCCGAGCTTTATTCCAGACATTAATTCTGAGAACACCATTTATCACCTAAAATTCATTAGCCCAATTACTTATTTACAGAGAAAGATTCCTTTTATGATAAGATCGAATGTTTCGATAATTGAATCTCCATTACATTGTTCTATTTTCTTATTTCATCCTTAATCTACTTCGTTCATTTATTTTCATCTGTTTTGTTATTTTCCTTTTAACATTGATGGATATATTCTGAATAATAAATCAAATTGTTTGTATTGAAATGTTCGTCATTTTGTTTGGTAATAGTTAGTATGAGTGGTGAGAAAAATGAAACATATAAATAATGACTTTGACACTGATGTATAGAGTAATGAGTTATTTGAAGGAATATTTAACTTAATTTCCTTTCTTATTCTTTTCTATAGATCTTAGACTTCTTCGTTGTCGTAGCGTATGTGAAATGGTCTATAATTATTTTATATGAAGGTGTATTTTGCTGTTCGACCCCTTTGATCTTTCAACGTCAGGTTTACCTGAAGTTTAGTTGGTAATTCCAAAATCA